GTGGAGTGGGGGGGGAGGTGATGCCATCTTGGGGTTTTTTTGGGGGGTTCTGATGTGTCTTCACGTAGTTCTTCACTGTGCTCTCCCCCAGCAGGGAACCAGGAGGCCCTGGGGGAGTTTTTTGGGGGGTTAATTTGGCCTTGCTCTGCTCCTGCTGCTTTGGTTTGGGGGGTAAAATGAGCTGCTGTCACTGGTGGGGTGGGCAAAGGGAACATTTCACGCTGGGTGGGGTCAGGAAGTTCAAACCACACTTAAATAAACAGCACCATGCCAGTCAAACACAGTCCCGTCAGGATTTTGATGGTTTAGGGACCTGTTTTGGGGCCTGCTCGGGTCTGCAGTCGAGTCCTCCACGAGGAGAGTTTTATCCACCTGAAAAGTGGAGAAACTCCCCAGGAAGTTTTCTGCTGCTCCCCACTGCAAGGAGCGCTCCTTGTTGACACAACAGGGTGATGGGGCTCAGCACTGATGATCAGAAAGGCCAGGAGGGCAGATCCAAAGCTCTGTGGGCTGAGGGACACTCAGGTCTCACCATTTCTGCCCCGTCCTGACCGTACCCCTCCAAAATAAGAACAAACTCCACTTGTGTTGGCCAAGTAAATTGTTGACCCAGCTGGGGGGAGGGGGTTTCACTTGCTGAGAAAGGTTCTCCCTGAGCTGTGTGATTTTGGGTGTCCTGGAACTGCAAAATTAAAGGATGTTTAAAGGCTCTTCAAAGGCTCTTCTGCTCTGTCTGGGTGGGTTTTTTTTGTACCAACTGTGGGGTTGTGGTGTCTACCCTCTGTCAGACGGTGTCTGTCTCCTCCAGAAGGTGGTTCTTGAATGCTCCATGTTTTTTTTTGCCACCAGCTGCTTCCAAAGCGGAGCATCCCCCAGGGTCACGATTTGGAAGCGTTGAAGTTGGGTTGTTTAGCACGGATTGTGCTCAGCCTGGCGAAGAGGAGCTCAGGGGGGACCTTCTGGCTCTCTACAAGTCCCTGTCAGGAGGGGGGAGCCGAGGGAGGGTCGGGCTCTGCTCCTTTAAGAATCAGGAGCGGAGGAAACATCCTCAGGTCGCACCACGGGAGGTTTAAATCGGACACGAGGGGAAAATTCCCTTTTAAAGGGTCTGGGCCGTGTGTTGGTGTTTGTCCCAAACACAACAGCAGAGGGGGTGGGGGCGTGAGGGAACATTTTGGGAGGAATTTCCTCATGGAAAAGGTGGCCAGGCGTTGGAAGGCGCCGCCCAGGGTGGGTGGTGGAGTCCCCATCCCTGGTGGGATTTAAACCCCCTGTGGATGTGGCTCTTGGGGACACAATCAGCTGGAGTCGATGATCTCAGAGGGCTTTTCCAACCTGAACGACTCTGTGATGCCCCAAGCCCCTCTTGATCCTTTATCCAAGGTTTTTTAGGCTCTTGCTGTGCTCATGCAGGTGCTGGGACACTCCCACACACCCCCACACTCCTCCCACACAACTCCCCAGGGAAAAGCTCAGGGAGCTTCAGCAAGAAACACAAGAAGATCCAAGGGAAAGGAGCAAACCCAGCCCATGAAATGCAGGATTTAAGGAGCTTGGATGTGCTCCCAGCAGGTTGAACAGCAGGAGCACACCCCTGGCAATCAGCTGAAGGGCAGGTGGCAAATAAACCCTCACCCTTGCCCCACCACCGTGAAAATAAGACCAGCCAAGGTGGGTTAAATGTGATTTAAGCTTGATTTTTGCACCTCGTTTATTTTCCTCCTCAGGAGCACCACGGCAGCATTTGGAGGTTCCCCTTCCTCCCCACACCCAGCTGGGTCCTTTCTTGGGGAATCCCCAAGTGAGTTTTGTGGGGGGGTTTTACAACAGCAGTGTCAGGGCTGCCCATAAATCTGCTTTGCACATATTTGGGAGCGGATTGTTTTTATAATTGAACAGTAAATCAACGTATTTAAGGCCGGTTTGCTGTTAACACTTCCCTGAGTATGAAATGCTCCCTCTGTCAATAGAGGGGAGGCTTTATTAGGATAATCACTGCTTGATTTAGAGCCTCACTGCTGGTCTGCAGGGTTATTAGCTCTTTGCCAGCTGATTGCAGATGCCTTGAACACCTCCCATGCTTTTAATGCTTCCTTAAATGGGGGTAGATTTTCCCAAAAACTCTGGGCAACCAGAGACAAGTCCCTGTGCCATCCTCCCCCCCTTCAGTGCAGGGGATATCAAATTATGGAATGCAGAGAGGACACTGAGACATCCCACAGAGGGATCAATCCCATCGTGTGGAGGAGGGAAAAGGTGAGTAAAAGTGGTCTGGGCACTCCTTGTTTGCCAGGAGTGACCCCAGGAACAATAAAGAACAAACCAAGGGGATATGGTAACATTTTTTTTGGGGGGGAGGGAGGGGGGTGAACACCAAAATCTGCCAGGAAATGGTGCCCATTAAGACCACGGGGCTAAAACTGGGAGCACAGAGAGTGGAAGACAAGGAGAGGGAAGTGCACAAATCACTGAGAAAGCTGAAAACCCAGCTTGGATCTTGGAGGGAGAGGGACAGACACCTTTGGGATGGCCTTGCTTAGGAGTTTACAGAGGAAACAGCTCCATTTTCCATCCTTTGTGCCAAGGAACAGATCATATCCTGGGTAATCCCTGGCTGGATGTGCTGGACCGCTGGAAGGGGGAGGTCTGAGGTGACACTTCCCAGCTATTTTCTGGGTCCCCCCCCCAAAATTCCTGTTACCATGGAGGCTTTTTTTTTTTTTTTTTTTTAACAGCCCCACTCAGGACCAATCTGTGTCTGGCCCCAAATCCAAGAGGCTGATTTCCCTCCAGGTGGAGAGAGGTGTTCCAGGAGCAGCTTCATCTTCTTGAGATGGCCCGACAGATGGGGTGAGGGGAGACAGGGAGGGAGGAAAAGTGTCTTTCTGAGGTTTTAATAATGCCCTTCTCCCACTGGAAGGGCAGGCATTTTCCAGATGGTAGGAGAGAGACTCCTCCCTGTGTGGCTGCAGATTGTGAGGCTCAGCCAAAGCTGTGATGTTGAATAAAGGTTTGATGTTTTTTTTTTCCATCTCTAAAACCTCCCAGATTTTCCATATCCATGAAGTTTTCCCAGCTGGCAGAGCTCTCAAAGCCCCCTGACAAGGCCCAGCTAAAGGCAGATGTTTCCAACACTCCCATGGGTGAAAAGTGTCCCATCTACTGTGGGGTTGACCCAATCTCCCTTTGTTTTAAGGTGAGGGAAGCAGAGGAATCCCCAGTGGGACACACTTGGAACAGCTCCAGCAGCACAGGGAGTATCAAACAGCCTGGATTTGGGAAGGAGGATATCCTAAAGAACAGGAGAGGCTGGAACAGCACAGAGAGTATCAAACAGCCTGGATTTGGGAAGGAGGATTTAATTACCTGGAAAGCATCATCTCCTCGGACAGGAAGATTGATGCAGAAATAGACAACAGGTTGGCAAAGGCACACAGAGCCTTTGGTAAACTCCAGAAAAGAGTCTGGCCAAACAAACACCTGAAAAAAAGCACAAAGATCAGTGTTTACAGAGCCATTGTACTGTCTACTCTTTTATATGGGTCAGCAGGGTTCTGTAGGGGGACCTGGCCAGGCTGGATCCATGGGCTGATCCCAACGGGATGAGGCTCC